AAGGTTGGGTTCCCAGGACACCGTACCACAAACTACCCATAACCTTGAGCTTTTTATGTGAATGCAGCCCTGGGCTGTGGAGTCTGCTAGTGGTGGTGGCTGAGTCCACAGGCCATCCCCAAATTGGATTTTGCAGCCTCCAAAACAGCCCTGAATTGTGTCATTGAAGTGAAAGGGCAACCCCATTTTTAGCACCATGATTTTTTTTGTTTTTGTTTGCAAAAGATGTGGCATTTTTCTAAATGTTTCCCACCTCCTTGTTAGCATAAACAGCGTGCACACACGCACACACATAAAGGAATGTATGGATCTTGGTTAAAAAGCACTGGAAGAGAATAGTGAAGTGTTGTTTTCCTTCCAGGGTGGCTGATCACCACTGATCTCTTTCGGCAGAGATCGGTGACTGCAAGTGATTGTGCTTCTCCCTCCCAATTGTGAAGCCATGAAAATACAGAACCAGCTTTTCCATTTATTCTAAGCAAATTGAAGCAATTTTACTAGCCCAAGGCGAATGTGCATCTTCTGAGCAAGTTGGAAAGTTTACGAAAGCAGCTCGAGACACCGCCAGTGACACATGTTGACTACAGAAAAGTTGGAAGAAAGTCAAATGTTCACCATCCATGCAATACACTGTTCACCACAGCCTGTCCAGACTGCACGGCAGGGAGTTTCGGACGGGATGGTTCACACCAGCCAAGTTTCCTTGTCCTGCGGTCTGGATGTCCCAATAGAAAAACAGCCCTAGCCACCTCCAATCTCCTGCAGACCTTCTTACCTATGAACTGTTCAACCGATGAACAACGAGGTGTGCCTGGGCAAACCATGGCAGATATGTACATGCAGGAAGGATGTTTCATTCTAAACTAGAGTTTTTATATTCATGCTAAGCTTTTTCTTGCTTCACTCGCCATCCCCACCACACTGCTTTCTGACATGGTATATTTCAGGTGGGGAAGAACAGTAAGTGCTCTTTGGAAATTATCTAGAGGAGAAAAATAAATTAAAAAAAAACATTACAAGAATATCAGAATGCAAGTCCTGTTACTTGTTTCCATGTCATTTGTTTTCTGTTTTGTACTGAATTCTTTATAAAGGTTGGATTTGCATAAGAACAGAAGCAGCGCCCTGATGGATCAGATCCCCGGCCCATCTCGTCCAGCAGGCTGTTCTCACAGTGGCCAGCCAAACACCGCGGCCTTCAGAGGCAGCCCAACGCCATCAAAGCTAAGAGCCACGGCTCCCCGGGACTTCCAGGAATTGGTTCGACCCTTTTTTGAAGCCAGTCAAGCTGATAGTCAGCACCACATCTCATGGTAGTGAATTCCAAAGTTGAATTACGTATTGTGTCAAAAAAGATTTCCTGATTCTTCCAGGATTCCATTTCATTGGGTGACCCCTGGTTCTAGTATTTTGGGAGGGGAAAAATAGCTTATTGTCCACTTTATTGATATAATTTTGAGGACACCTCAATCATGTCCTCTCTCACTCACCTCTTTTCTAGACTAAAAAGCCCCAAATATGGCAACTTTTCTTCATAGGAAAGCTCCCTCCAGTCCTTTGATCACCTTTCTTGCCCTCCTCCGAACCTTCTCTAGCTCCACTATGTTCTTTCTGAGTGCGACAACCAGAACTGCACACAATATTCCAGATGCAGTCACACCTTTGATTATAGGAGGTGGGAACGCTCTGGGCTGTTGGACATTGTTGTGGGATCCTGAGAGGCTCTCCCGCATTTTGGTAAAGAAAGCCTGCGGTTCAAAGAGCAGGATCCATCCTGGCTGGGCAAAAAGCAAAGGCACATCCATTATGGCGCTTCTGCAGGCATCCACCTCCCCGGGGACGCCCCTAAAGCTGCAGGACGCTGCTGGCTCGTGCCAGATCTGTGGTCTATCAGGGCATCCAGATCCTTCCTACAAGCACAACTGCTTGAGCCGAGCCTCTGTCTTGTCCTCATGCATCTGATTTTTCCTACGTGCAGAACCCTCCATTTCTCACTACTGAGCAGCATTTTACTGGATGGGTCCCAACGTTCAAGTCTGTCAAGATCCTTTTCAATCTCGAGCCTGCCTTCTAAGGCATTGGCAGTCCCCTCCAGCTGTGTGTGGCCTGCAAATTCGGTGGGTACTCCTTCTATGCTTTGTCTAGGTCATTTATAAAAACTTTGAAGAGCTGTGGACCCAGGACAGAACAGTAACCCACCTCTCCATGTAGGCATAGATCCATTAAGGACGATGTGTTGGGTACAGTCCTTCAACCAACTGCAAATTCATCTGATAATAGGATCATCTGTCCCACATATAGTTATTAAAGCCCTTACTGAAGCCTAAGTATGTCCACAGCAGTCCCTTGGTCTTCTCTCTCTCTCTCTCTATATATATATAAGATTTGTCTGACATAACCTGCAATTAACAAATCCATGCTGGCTCCTAATCACCATGTTCTTCCATATGTACAAACTCATTGCTTGGTATCTTTTCTGGGATTTTGGAAGTGACCTTAACCAACAGCAAAGACTTAGATCATTTCCACACTAGCAGTTCATAGTGTCTTCTAGAGTCATCCAACCACCGTTGTGTCAAAATATGTCATGTGGGCAGGCTTTATATAACTTCAGTGAGGGCTGCATGAAGCTATGAAGATCCTTTAAGTCACTAGTGCAGAAACGGAAGTAGCAGGAATCTGCAAGAAAGCAGATTTTAATGACGTCAGGGGAGGATAGGTAGGACGCATGGGAAAAGGAAGTTCCCTGTTGGCCAACAGCAGGACAAAGCCAGGAGCTGGCTCTGAGGAGGCTTGAACTGAACCGAGGGACTGTGGGCGTGATTTGCTCTGTGAGAAGATCCCAGGCACTGAAAGGTCAAGAGCCATCTATTGCTACTCTCTTCAGTTACACCGGGCGCTGGATTCTGACACACAGTCACACCACTGGTGGAGAGTAAACATAGTTGCAGCATTACCTGTTGAACTTCTAGCAGTGGCTGACAGAGTGCAGGTTTATGAACACCCAGTACCTCCCCTTGCCTTTTCTTTTTAAAGAGCACATTCAGGATTGAATTAGAGGAGAGATTCACTCTCTTTTATATGCATGGCTAGTCTCAAAACACTGGCATGGCTTTAATTTAATTTATTTTAAAAATATACTGTAAAATATGCCAGTAAAGGGATCGCAGCATCTGGCAATCTAGCCGCTGGAATGGGTGGCTGGAACCCAGCAGTCTCAGGTAGAAAGGAGGTTCATACGTTGCGGCAGAAGATGATGGTTTCCCCCGCCTGGTGCTGGCCAGATGTGCTGGGGTCCTCAGCCAGGGTGGGAAACTGGGGTGGGGTGGGGTGGGGGGGTGAATTCAACTAGCTGGCAAGGCTGGGAGATGCTGTTTACAAGGCAGGCCTGAGCGAGAAGCAAGCTCCGACCAGGGCTCGAGAACAGAAAGTGGTCGTTTATAGCAAAGTCACGCTGAACTGCAGCTCTTCTGGCCAGTGGCTTGTAGGGAGCGGAAGAGATCGGCCAGCTCTGACACGGGCTTGGGCAAGCTGAGCCGTGCCAAGCAACAGCCCGGAGTCAAGGGAAGGTGATGGTGGTGAGCGGCATGAGCTCCAGGGCTTGTTCCAGGGAGGGGCGCTGCTCCTGGTATTCAGCGGGGTGGCCGTTCCTGTAGTGGCCATACTCAAACTTGATCCTCAGTTCACCGATTTTGGACTGGGGGAGGATGTCTGGGATCCACTCAATGACGAAAGGCGTTGGCTCCTTTTGGTCGGGGGATGTGTTACCTGGGAGGAGGAAACCCGAAAGATGAGAGGAGCCGCTTCCCAGATCGCAAGAGGAAAAATGAGCCCTTCTTGCCCCCTCTTTGCACACCGCAAACTGACCAACTTTCAAGAAAGTTTTCAGCTCCAGGGGCCGAAGAATGGGCTGCTTCTCCAGGCGTCCGTAGGTCTCCGCGATGCTCTCCACCTCAACTTTGGGACACTTGAAGGGCTCGTAGGTACCGTCCCGGTTCTGGATAAAGCTGCGTGTTATTTCCAGAGGCATCTGGAAAGAGAAGGGATGAGCAGGAGAGCAGAGACCCCCTTGGGAGGGGTCTCCCAGCACCAGCCCCACCAAGCCCATCGTCACCTCACTGCAGAAGGAAACATTTGTCTCGGAAGATGAAATCGAGAAAGTTTAAAGCAAGTCCCAGAGGAGAAAATGAAGCCTTTTAGATTTCCTTGTCTAAACCAGCTGGAGTTCAGCAGAGAGACTCACTTCCATTGTTCATCTCTGAACAAACATGCCAGATTCCTCCTTCCTCTGCTCAGAAATGCTGCTTGCAAGGCAGAAGACAGAGGGAGAAATGGGCCTTACCTCAACGGTATCAAAGATCTGCTTGACCTGCAAGATGTTGGTAATGTGCCACGTATATTTAGAAAAGGTACCCAGCGGTAAGGCATCTTTGCGGACAAAAGCTGGAAACAAAGAATTATTTATTTACATATAATGATACGTAAGATTCTGGGCAGTTTGCACTAGTAAGATTAAAAACATAATTAATAATAGTATTACATAATAAGTAAAAGCAGTCAGTGCAAAGGCATAAAAAAACAACCCAAATAAAAACACCTCATAAAGTTTCGTCCAAATCAGACAGGACCCACCAAATGCCAGTGTAAGCCACACGGACTGCTGCTTTGCCAAAAATAAAAAAGGAGGTGCCAGGTGCTTTCAGCAGGTGGGGGCCATGGCTGCAAAGGGCCGCCGTTGGGTCCACGTCTCACTGGGAAGAGACCCAGGCGCCCTCTCTAGCCTGGTCATGTTGGCCAGGCAGGCTCCACCGGAGGAGGCAGGCCCCAAGAGACCCCGAGGCGGAGCCCGAGAGGTTCTCGGTGGAGACGAGCGCTGGGAGCAGAAACCTCCTGGAAATCAGCACAACGGCTGGAGCATCGGTGGCCTAGGACAGCAGCGGTTCCCGCCTGCTAACTTCCTGGATGCTACATTTTGCAGCCACTGCAATTTCTGGGCAGCCCATGTGAAGCTCACCACAGCAGTAACTGTCAGTTACCGTGGCTGAAGCTGGGCCAAGGTCCCCCTGGCCACAGCTTCCATCTGCTGTCCCAGCAAGAGCTGTGAGTCCAGGAGGACTCCAGTCAGAAGCCCCAGTAACCAGGAACTGACTCTGCTTGCACCTGGCTGGTTCACATGATAGGAAGCAAGGGAGAGGGGGAAGCCTGGGCCCACTGGGGGAACACCAGTGCTCATCCTCCTGTCATCACCAAGAGAGGCCTTGGAAGAGAGCCCCCACACCCTGCCATTTGCAGCCAAGGCCTGGGCCCTTTCAGCCGCTGCTGCCAACACACACACCAGCAACATTCTCTCTGCAAGTCGTCTGCTGTTGGCAAGGGCACCTTGATGTCTCTGCAGAAGCAGGCGCAGAGGAGCCTCCTCCATCAGCCCCTCAGGTGAGAAAACCACACCCTAGTGGAGTTCAGCACCTCACAGCTGGTCTTAAAACCAGCCACTGGAGAACACGGGTTCAAAAGAGCGCTATAATCTGCTTCACATCAAGTACTGAGAGCTGCTGGGGGGACGGGGGGCTGCCCACAAAAGGCAGCTTTGCTGCACATGTCCCATCAGTTGTCAGGCAGATCAGCTGCTGTGTGCCCAGTCAAGCAAGGAAGGCTGCTTCATCTCACAGCAGCCCGACGCCCAGACCTGTGGATTCAGCCAACTGCCCTGAGTGCCCACCCACCGCAGCCGTGCTCTGGCTGGTGGATGGCTCCCTGCCTGGTGGTGACACTTGGCGAGGGGGAAGGAAGCAAAGCCAGAGGGTTCAAGCTTTGCTTCACCTCTCTGTACAACTGCAATCAGGACATTGCTGCCCGGCAGCAAAGCACACCAGCAGCCACAGAGACAGGACAAAGCGGAGACAGAGAACTTATGCTGGTTTGCTTTCTGTCCAGCTCCACGAGAGGTGGAGGGCACTTTAACTGAGCTGTGGGAACAAGACCAATGCAGAGGGACACTGAGGGGAAAAATGCTCCAAAGGTCAGTACCTGTCGTTGAATTGGGAAGTCGCATCTTGACGCTCCCAATGCAGATCCTCTGCTGGAGAGCCTCGAAGAAGGCCTGCGGGATGTGAAAGACGAGGGGCTCGGGCTTGCCTGAGTGAAACATGCAAAACCAGGAGGAACAGATGACGATTATGTGCATCTTAGAAACTGGATCTGGAAAGTCACCAGGACTCAGGACCGAGCATCGCTGAAACAGCGGCAACAAAGTCAAGCCCAAGAGGGGAGATGCCTGGGATGAAACAACCTCTTGGATGACTCAAAAGGAAGGCCCGAGGTTGTCTGCTGAAAGCTTGTGTATTTTGAGAATGTTACTGACAAACAGGGTAAACGGCCAAAACAGATTAACATGTAAACCTGCAGAGGGAAGAGAAAATGGCCTTGAGGGACGGGAAGAAGAGCTGCTATCAAGGTCAGATAAGAGGGGCTTGAGTCCCAGCCAAGAAAGTAACGTGAGAAAACATCTCAGACGAGCCCCTCCCTAGTTCACATGAACATAGAGGGAGGGAGGGGAGGGCGGAAGTGCATTCAGACTTGCTAGTTTCTGTTACAATAGCTTTACAATAAAAATAGTACTGATCTACATGGCACTGGTTTCTTAATCTGGTCTATCTGGAAGGGCTGATAAAACCTTCCAGATGTTTTGGGAGTACTACTTCCCAAATCTCTGCCAGCCTGGTCATTGTAGTCCCAAAACACCTGTGGGGCATCAGCTTGGGAAAGGCTGTGTAAAAAACTTCCCCACCAAGAACCACAGTTATGTGCCCCTGGCCAGAATGCCAGCGATTGTTGGGGGCACCTCTTTCTGACCCGCAGAAACAAGGGGCAGCTACAGTGAGCGTGCCCGCCCCATCCCTACCTAGGGGAAGATTCCTTCTATTCTGAAGGAGAAAAAAAATGGTCAATGCAAGATAGGGAGCAAATGGTAAAACTGAAACATTGGGACAAGGTGGAACTCTTCCTCGCCTTTTTCTTTAGAAGGTTTATGCTACAGTGTACGATTGTAGCCAGTGTGTTTGGAATGGGGAGACAAAAGGGGGGTAAATGGGGAAGCTCACTGCACTGAGCCGCGGGGACACCCCAAAGTGCCTTTTCAGTCACCAGAAGAGGCTTCTGAATCATGGGATTTCCCTAAGATTCCCCACCCATGCTCTCCCACTAAGATATGGGCACCTTGGGAAATTTATTTAATTTATTTAAAACATTTATATAGCTGCCCATCTTGAACCCAGCTCTGGGTGGCTCACAACCCCAAAACAACATATCTCACAAAATCCCTCTACAATAAAAACATGAAGACCAGAAGACCTGGCACCACAGCTAAACTTTCCCATGCGCTCACAAAAAGTTCTTATGCTATTCTGGCACCTGGGGAAAAGTCAGGCGTTGAGTGCTTTTTGGAAGGTGAAAAGGGTGGGGCCTGTGGAAGCTCAGCGGGGAGGGTGTTCCATAGGGCAGGGGCTGCCACGGAAAAGGCACCTTCCTAGATCCCATAAGATGGCAATGTTTAAGGGAAGGGGGTAGGAGTGTGCCCGCCCTATCTGACCTGATAGGAAGGGCAGCTGACCCTAGGGAGGGTCGATCCTGCCGATAACCTGGTCCCATGCCATAAAGTGCTTTAAAGGTAAGAGCCAGCATCTTGAATTGCACCCGGAAGGAAACTGGGAGCTGGTGCAGCTCGCATATCAGGGGTGTAAAATGAGCGAACCTAGGGGCACCCATCACTGCACACCCCGCTGCATTTTGGACCAGTTGCAACTTCCAAGTGGTCTTCAAGGGCAGCCCCACATAGAGAGAATTGCAGTAATGCAAATGGGATCCTCTGAACAGTGTCCAAAGAGATGGGCAGTGGCCGAGGCAATGCCCCTGCTGATATCATAATCAGCTCCCGGAGAAGGACTAAGTTCGCCAAATGCATGAAGAAGCCGCCGTGGGGGCGGGGGGGGGGTGTTTCCTCCTGTCCTGACTGTCTTCCTCTCATAAGCAACCCTTCAAGGGCGAAATGAAATGGCCAGCAGGAAAGACTCACCGTCAAACTGGTAATGCATGGCTTGGTGGATCCGCTCCGTGACGCTGGCCAGCCATTCCTGGAAGGACAGGGCCACCTGGGACTCATCAAGCACCTGACCGCCAGCTGAGCAGAAGGAAAGGCTTCTTTGTGAATAAAACAAGGGCAGGCAAACCATGGACCCCTCCCCATTCTGGCCCCTCAGACTGCATCCTGCTGCAAAGAAACAGCCACTTATATGGGAGGCAGAAAGCCTACCCCAACAGCTATGTTCTGAGTTTGAAATGTTCTTATAGAATGTTTCCAGGGGGCTGTATTTTATTGATTGATTGATTGGATTTTTATTCCAGCCTTTTATTTTTGCTCAGTTCAAGGCAGTGTGCATAACTAATGCTCCTGCCTCTTATTTTCCCCACAACATCCACCCTGTGAGTTGGGCTGGGCTGAGAGAGAGGGACTGGCCCAAAGTCACCCAGCTGGCTTTTGTGACTAAGGCAGAACTCGAACTCGGGTCTCTTGGTTTCTAGCCCAGTGCCTTAACCAACAGACCAAACTGGCTCTCAAAAGTCTTCTGACTGCCAAGAGGCAATAGATGGTCAGATTCATCCTTATTGGGACGTGTCAGACTTACTTGGCCAGATCTCATTCTACGGGGTCAAACCCTCTGCCAGGAATTGGACCACTGCATTTTTAGGTATCTAAAAACTACTGTGGAAAATGACGGGAGTTTGACCAAGCCCTTACCCTCTTCTTTTCACAAATTTAGATGGGAGGCTATAGTCTATTACATTCTACATACCACCCAACATGCAGAAACATTGGTCACAGAGTCTGTTTTACTAAAAAATAAAAACATTGTGCAGGTAGGCTGCCAAAAGCATGCTTAACTCTTGCTTCTGTTGTTTGCCATGGACATTTTAACTGTTCTTTTTAAATTATCCCATTGGTCAATTTTGGCCAGTGTTGATGTGGAGAAGGATATTGAAAAGCTAAATAAATCAGGTTTTTTTCCTAGCTCAGATTTCATTTCGCAACCAGTCCCCCGCTTTGACTTGTCAGAAGTTAAGCCTCTGAACTGCATTCCAAATATCCTTGCTCAAGCTGAGAGTGGGGGGTTTGGGCTTCTCTGTGCAAGAGAGCTCTGCAGCCTCGTGGTCTCAATGGGAAAGGACTCACTTTGCCGTTTCAGTGACGCAACAGATGCCTTTTTCACTCCGCTTTTCTGCAAAGGGTGATTTGCCACATCTTGAGACAAGAGGGGGCTACTTGCTTGCGTGCCTAAAAGGCAAAATTTAACACCTTTAGAGCAGGCAGGACATTTTAAGTTCTCACAGCCTCTTTCTGATTGCAGAACACCTTTGTCATGGCACAAAGGATGTTCCAAGAGACCTCTTTCTGCAGAATGGCATAGTGAGACGATCTCGTTGTTCTGCATTTATGAGAATGAAGGTGACCCCCTCACTGAAACTCAGACACGACTGCAAGAAACTCAGACTCCAAAAGTCGAGAGATGATTTCATGGGCTTTGATTTCACCTGGCAAAGGTGCATTCATTCATGAGAACAAGAAACCAAACGAGAATGACAGTGAGGGGACGCTGAGCAAGATGAACCCTGAAAAAATAGAACAAATGCATGTCTAAATTTAAGCTTTTCTAATTCAGATTTGTTCATAGATCAAGTCTCTTCAGAGCTAAGTTTTATGAGACATCCAGAGAGAGAGACTCTTGTAAAGATCTCACAGGTACCAATTTATGTGAAAAAATAGGGTCATAGCAATAATGGCTTCTCCGTGATTCACTGTAGATCCAGCTAGACCAAATACCTTTTACATCCACCTTCTTTTATCAGATTTAAATCTAGACATGATTTATGAGGAGGCAAAATTAATCTCTGGGACTAAGGCTGTTAGGGAACAAATATAGGAGCAGATGATGGCAAAAAATCAGGACTCTGGTAGCCCTTTTTCCAACTAACTAATTTTATTAAAAGACCAGATTAAAATCTATCTACATGAGTCATGAATATTCATGAATGCATCTGATGAAGTGAGCTGCAACTCACAAAAGCTTATGCCTTTAATAAAATTGGTTAGTCGGAAAAGGGGCTCCCAGACTCTTCCGTTATTAGGAAACAAATGGTATCGTGGGGGGTGTTAAAGATGGGGTTTGACTGAACTTTGCCACCATCACCTCTGCTCCAACTCCAACTCCAACTCGGGATTTTCCTTCCTCCTTTTCAGTGCTTGCTGATTGTCTGGTACATGATTTTTCTCTCTTTCACATCTTTGATCACGGGCTGAACTAAACATCCAAACCTACAGATTAATGCTAGTACAGGTAGACCTTGCTTACCGACTGTCTTGTTCAGCAACCATTCGAAGTTACAACGGTGCTGAAAAAATAACTTTGCAACCAGTGCCCGAATTTACGACCTTCGCAGCGTCCCTCAGATATGTGATACACATTCTTCTGTGCCTGACTCATTTTTTTCTCCCCCCCCCCTTGGAGAGCAGAAAGATTGGAAAGGATTATGAAAAAGTAAGCAGGCACACAATGGGGAATACACATTGAAAGCAATGTCCTGGTGCTACTCTGTTTTATCAATACATCACTGTCTTCAATACAGTATCAATACATCACTGTCTTCATAGTTTTAATATCAACAATTCTTGTAGTCAGGTCTCAGTGTTATATTTTTATGTTAGCAATCCCTATAACTTTGGTACTATTCTGTCAGTCTGTACCTTAAATACTTATTCCTTGAATTATTGTAATTTCATAAGTTATATATTGGTCTATGACTGAAATAAAGATTGAGGACAAATTAAAAAAAAGGAACTCTTGGCCACTGATTTGCACTCCCATTTTCTAGCACAGTGTTTCTCAACCCTAGCAACTTTAAGATGCATGGACTTCAACTCCCAGAATTCCCCAGCCAGCATGGGAGTTGAAGTCTAGCACAGTGTTTCTCAACCCTAGCAACTTTAAGATGCATGGACTTCAACTCCCAGAATTCCCCAGCCAGCATGGGAGTTGAAGTCTAGCACAGTGTTTCTCAACCCTAGCAACTTTAAGATGCATGGACTTCAACTCCCAGAATTCCCCAGCCAGCATGGGAGTTGAAGTCCATGCATCTTAAAGTTGCTAGGATTGAGCAACGACTGTTCGAGCGTATCAACATGGAACACGAATCCACCCAGAAGATGAAGCCAAAATTGAAGGTTCTCACCCAACCCTTCATCCTTCTTCTTCCGCTTCACCTTGGAGGCAACAGAGTCTCCCGAGGGCAGAGTGGATTCTGGCTGGCAAGCGAGCGGAGCTCCTGCCGTTGATTTCAGACCTGCAGCTGTGGAAGAAAAGGGGCTGCTTAGAAGCCTCTGCGCTTCTCAGAATGAACTGGCTGCAGCACGAGAACCAGAGTGCGCCCTTGCCTTGACTTCTAAGACCCAGCCTGCCTGCCAGCTGTTTCCAACCCGGCCACCTGTCAAAAGCCAGCCAGGCTCTTAGCTCCCCTCCTTGATGGCCGCCGCTGTACTTTCCAAAGTCAGGCCTGCCTGGACAATTCTGCTGCCCATGAATCCATGCGGAAGCTCGGGAGGCCTGAGAGAGGCCAAGGGGTCACCTCTCTCCTCCCAGCGGCCACCCGGTACCCTGTGCATACCTACCACTGGCATCGTCGCTGAGGAAATCGGCAAACTCCTGGGCCAAGGCCTCATCGCTGGCAAAGGCACAGAGGCAGGCGAAGAAGTGGATGCATTTCTGGCTCCCTTCTTCTGTGGCTGAGGTAGCCTTGCTGGACTTCAAGGACTGGCAGGGGCAGAAAAAGCGGTGCCCCAGCGGGTGCTTGTGGCCAGCCCTGTGAGCAAAGGTGATATGGAGATACCCCAAGCTATGCTTTGGGCTGGCCTTGCACTTCACCACCAGGACATTCTTGGTAATCCTCTGGACCAGGGGCCCCGTGGGCTCAGTGGCCAGCTCCCAGAGGGTTTGCTTGGTTTGGGGCGAGGCCTGCATGGAGTTCAAGACAGAGCTTTTCAGGGTCAAAGGGGTGGCCTCTGTCTGGCAGCTCACAGCCAGCTTCATGTGCTGGCACTGGTTTTCGACTACCCCTTGCGTAGTGGCCTTCAAGCACGCTGGGAGGTAGCAGCGCCCAGAGCTGAGCTGCGTGATGATGGTTCCGTCAACTGTCTGGATGGTGGTCTCCGAGACGCCCAGCTCCACAAAGCACCGATACTCGGGCCCTCTGTCCCTCTGCCGCACAGAGTAGACCTGGAGGTCTGAGCCGGTGATGATTTTGACTGCGTCGACACCCGCCTGCTTCCGTGAACCGTATCGGAAGACAGTGCCACAGGTCTTGTTTTTGCAGCTCAGCCCACGGGTGCCATTGTAGGTGCCACATCGGGGGCATTTCCGAATGCCTCTCAAGGTTGCTTTCCCCAGGTCCGATAAGAAAGCCGGGACTTTACTCCTTAGGGAGCTGGACTCCATCCTTCAGAGAACCTGGGCCAAAGAGCAGTGGGAAAGTTTGGTTCAACAGAACCCCCTTGGTGGTTGCTTCTGGGATGGTTTTAGAATGAGTTAGACTGCTTCCTAGGAATATTCACCATCTCCGATTCTTGCGTGTGCAAAGCCCCAGAAACGGACTGGAGAAATGCAGAGGGCAACCCTGGTGCCAAAGGTGGGACATCTAACGAGGACCATAAACCAATAAATGAAAAGCAACCGGGGAATTGTCCTAAAGATGGTGAAAGAGTAGACCTTCTTTTGTAAGAGACCTTTTCCACTACTCGAGTTTACCATGGCTTGCATAGGAGAATTTCCTAAGGCAGTTATAACCCATCAGCCAGGTCCGAGCACCTGAGATGGCATACCTTTTCTGAGACATCTGAGGTTCTAAGTGGAGAGCAGAAAGTCTGCCTCCAAGATGCAAACCAACCCCTTGACTCCAGTTCAACATATCCCTGTTTGCTGCCGAGGCTGAGTTTTCTAGCACACAGAGCAGAGCTGACCTCTCTCGCCAGGAGAGCTGGGTTAGCAAGATTGGTCCAAGCCGACTCATCTCAGCCTGCTTCCATCCACCTTGAGGTTGGAAGAACAAAACTAGGGAGGTCAGGAAAAAAATGTTTAGTTGGACAATACTGATCACATCCTTAGTTTGCCATCTCCTAGAATGGGGAGAAAGTAACTTCTTCACAGTTATTCTTCAGAGGAACTAGCTGAGCTAATCTGAGGTGCAGGAAGAGGGAGACCCCCAACACCTAAAGCAACACTGGGAACCTGAAAACATGCCCATCCCTGCCTTCCCCGGCATCTGATGGCCCACCATTGCCAAGATGATTAGTTGTTCACTCAGTGGGCACCAACTCTGAGCACGGTGCTGGTGGACAGCCAGCCTGAGCCGGTCCCAGACCTGCAGGTGATGGGAAGGGACGGAACGCCATGAACCCTCCTCAGGGTTCTGGTGAGAATACAGACCACCGGCATGGTGGTGTCACAATGAAGCCGCTGCTGCTCTGAAGCCTCAGGCAGGCCACGGGGTGGGCAAGAGCCAGTAAAAGGCGCCCCTCAACTCTCTGGACTTTGGAGGAATCCCAATTCTCAGACCAGAGTGATCCACTCCCTGCCACTAGAAGGAGCAGACCTCTTCTTCTTTAGAGCAGCAATAAAGAGGCATCTTGGGCCGAAAGCTGGAGCAAATGCTTTTTTAAAGGGAAGGATCAAAACCTCTGCCAGTTTTAGAGCAAGACTAGGGCTATCTTGGGGTGGGGGGAGAGGGCTGATCCCCATGTTGCAGGAACCTGCAAGTGTGCAACTCTCTAGCTCTGTCTTTCCAAAGAGGGCATAGCGGGGGGGGGGGGGGGCAGAGATGGCATCATGCAACTGGACTAATCCTTTCAGCCCTTTGCGGTGGCTTCAGGGAGTTTTAAAGTGCAATAGGGTGCCTGATGCCTTGGACTTACCGTTTTGCCCATTAAAGCCTTGCAGAAAGTTTGGGGTTAAAAAGGAAAAATAGGTGCCAGACATGGCTGTGGAGGGAGTCAAAAGTCACAATGGTGGCCACAATGGTGGCCGTGGGATCCTTTGTACATGCAACATACACATGATGCATGTAAAAAAGTGACAGGGCTTTGATCACATGGCCATAGCCACCCTTGTGATTTCTTTACCCTCACATCCTCCACGGAGACCGCTGATGGATGCCTTAACTTCGAGGTCTAAAAGGGTGCTGGGGGTCGAATAGGGTGCTGAGAAGAGGATGTACGTAAGCCACAGGCACAAAACACCGAGCCGTGGTTTGGTCCGGCTTGGTTTCAGCTGGTTCCGAGTACAGTAGAGCCTCAGTTTAAGGTCTAGCTGGGGTAAGGGAGTGCCTGTTGTTCGCAGGGGCGTCACGTGCATGATGACTTGCCCATCAGCTGGGGAGGGGAGGGGAGGGGGGAGGGGAGGCGCAGATGGAAATGTTGTCCACTGCAGCCAAAGCTGATAAATCAAGGGTTCACTCTACCCCTTCCTCGGCCTGGGAACCTGGAGCCCGCAGGACCACGCACGAGAGGCTTCTTTTCAGACCGCCAAGCCGGCCGCCCCTCTTCCTGCGCTCGGGCAGCTACTGCGGGAGCTCCGGGGCGCCCTGCCCTCCGCAGAC